TCGCAAAAAAACATCAGTGCCATTACAGGAAATGAAACTGACTGGGAAAATATTTTTGTAGCTGTTAGGCTTTTGACAATTTTTCCTGTCATGCAACATTAATACTTTTGCATATTTCTGGTATATGCAGTTCATAGTAATATTAATACTTTACATTGCAAATATAATTTTGAAATGACATCAATATGTGTCAGTAAGATTTTAAGATGCATTAAATCGATCAAAAGTGACAGTAAAGACCTTTATAATGTTACAAAAGATTTCTATTTCAAATAAATGTTGCTCTTTTGAACTTTTTTACTGATCAAAGAATCCTGAAAAAAAAAGCTATTATACGATGTCCAGAAGACATCTTTATGGAGCTTTTCCATTCATTTTCTGTCCATTGTAATTGAATGGAAAAAGAAGGACCAATACATTACTCAAAATTTCAGGTTATACAAGTTTAGAACAACATAAGCATGAGTAAATGATGACAATTTTTGGGTGACTATCCCTTTAAAGTTCTTCTAAAACAGATTGCAAGAATTTAGTCTGATAAACTTGACAGAAGACCTTGTGAAACCTCTTGATTGTTTTATCACCACTGAAAAGCACAAAGACAGCAGCAAACAAAGAAATAGAGGAGAACAGACAAAAAAGAAACAAAGACACATACAGAGACAAGACACAGTCACTGTCTAACTCTCTCTCACACACAAACATCTACCAACTCCCATTAATACATATCACACGTCCATATTCAAACAGTACAAGGACACCAGACTCCACAAATACAACACATCCAATGAAAATGGCCACAATACAACACCTATAGGGACATATACAATACACACATATATACATTTATATATGGACGCTGGGACATGAGAAACACCAGAAAAATAGCTCTGTAGCTCAGACAGCAGAGTGACAGCCATGTGAGATGAGACTCAAAACTAATATACTGTACATGTGTGCATATTCCCTATGTTATATGTCTGAAACTGGACAGTATTTGTGAGATACAGGATTTTAAGTAGCACCACCCAAGACATCACACACTGAAACTCAACCATTGCTCTTAAAAGAACGCCATCACTTCCCAGCACCACCCTCTTCATGCCCAACATTAAAACATTTCCGTCATTATTAAAAGCATTTCCAAACACAAAAATTATTTTTTAGGCTACATAACTTCTTGCTCACATTTTAAAATAAAATAAATAAATACAATTATTTATATAAATGTGGTATATATTATATAATGTATTAAATAATTATTAAATCATAATTATTAATATTATAAAACAAATATAATATAGAGTGATGTAATTGTTAAACTATTAAAAAGTTTTCTATAATTGAAATAAATAAAATAAAATAAAAATTGGCAATGGTACCTTGGCGTCAGTAAGATTTTAAGATGCATTAAATCGATCAAAAGTGACAGTAAAGACCTTTATAATGTTACAAAAGATTTCTATTTCAAATAAATGTTGCTCTTTTGAACTTTTTTACTGATCAAAGAATCCTGAAAAAAACTGTATCATGGTTTCCACAAAAAAGAAAAAAAAAATCTAAATTGATAATAAGAGCAGCAAATCAGTAATCTGCTGAAAATTCAGCTTTACCATAATAGGAATAAATTATTAAATGTATTTATATTATATTATATT